GAGAGAGAGAGAGAGAGAGAGAGAGAGAGAAAGGATCATTTATAAAATGAAACTAAACAATACACGATAAAAATATTGTGCGGTGGATAAAGCCACTATGAAATGCGCGTGTACGCGATAATTACGCGTACACGCTTGAACACCGTTTTGTATGAAAGAAAAAAAAAAAAAAAAAAAAACAGTCATAAAGGGAAAAAAGATTGTCACTTTAGATTAGTCTGCTGTCAATATAACTAGAATTATAATTTTGAATGTAACATGTATCATATTGATTATTGCCTAGATAAGAACCGTACCGATTAAAAAGTTAGCGCACGATTATATCAGACTTTAGGTATAATAATAAATGATGTCCACGGGACATTTTCATTTTTGAAAGATTCACGTCAATTTTTATTCAGTAGATGTGCGTGTGGAAATCCAGTACGCCTGAATTACAATAATTTTAATGATCGATTGCTTTCATTCAACCAAGAAAACTTTTATATATTTTTGATATCAAGAACTTTATTTTTATTCATCGATTTTTGCAATGTTCATATATTTTTTCAAATTATAATCCCATGCATATATATATATATATATATATATACACACACACATGTATATATATTTTTAATATTGAAGTTCGGGAGATTTTATATAATAAATATGTTTACTAATAATTAAATTCAATGAAATCGGCAATTTAATAATGATAGAAAGTAATTTGAAAAACGGGAAAGTTTGAAAGTTCGCGGGGATCGTAGCGCTCATGCGCAAACAGTTCGATGAACGACGTGACTCTAGTCCATGATCTCGAACGGTGAGTGAATTTAGTCACGCCCATGCCGTTGTTGAGTAAATATGGCGTCGTGGAAAATGTCGAGTTTTGTGTAGTGATTGTGTTTGAGATTTGTGTTGTGCAACGACTTTCCAATTACCATAGCACCTGTCATCACGTTAACATATTTCCGAGGATGTTACCCGACTACGGTTAAAATTTCGTTGAGAAATCTAACGCCAAAGGTAAGTTATTTCACAAGATCTCTATCTTTAGAAATAACATTGCTATGATTTTTCTAAACTCCATAGTGAATAATTTAGAAAAGTGACAATTAACTTTGTACTATCATAACTAAGTAAAAATCCGATATTTTTAATTTGTTACGTGTTGTAATTATTATGTTGCAATGACAAGTTGTAATTGTTTATAATATACAACGTGGCATATATGTCACGGAGGTATTTGTGAAATGACTATTTAGATCAATTATAGTGAAACTCATGCAATATAATTATCTTTATTACTCTCTTTATTCTATTATATAAAAATTTAATATAAAACTCAACACATACAAAGTACTGTTTACTTTAAACACATTACGATTAATAGTGGTTATTTATACTAAAACTAGAAATTATTTTTACCGAAATTAAAATTACTTTCATGTATAATTTCAAAATCTAATTTGAAATTAAGATATAAACGTGTATGTATATACTTACAAATTATCGTAACGTGTGTCGTGTGCGAACTATTCACATACATCTTGCCAGTTCACAATAAAGTATAAGAAAACGGGTAGACACCTATGAAAACATTTGTAAACACAGCTGTAAATATCTTTTTTTCAAATTCATCAAAATTTTGTAATGATTGATATGTTCATTGATATGTACATATCATCTTTCAATATGAATTTATAACATAATTATAAATGTATATGAATATATACATGTTTCAGAAATTATATTAATAATTACTTAATTTGTTATATAGTAACATCTTATACATATACATATTTACTAAAGGAAGAGAAATTTTATATTCTATTCAACCCGTTCTGTCTACAAAATTAAGTTATATTAATGTAATTCCTGAAAATTTTAAGTATATCCAATTTGATATATAATTGAAATATAATTTGAAATCTATTATTTTAGTGTATTGGAAAATTAAGAATTTATAATCTTATTTGTGTGAAACATAGCTTCTGTTCGTTATTAATTTGTACTACATATGGAACAATAGAAAACTTAAATAATGATGAAACAATGAAACTGGATACATCAGTTACAAAAATCACATATATTTAAATATATCCTTTGCAAGTACATTTTTAGAAATTCATCATACAAGTTATGTAATATCTGTGTTTTCATCAATCAAACATGTATCTACATACTAATGACAATAACCTTTTCTTTCTTCAAAATGAAAGTCAAAGTAAATCATTGTACAAAAGGATAAACGAGGTTAGTACTCGAATCGAATGGTTGCACGTGAAGAATGTTATCACGAGGAGCGTGCCTGCTTTTGTACACGCGACACCAGAGCCGCAATGTCACGAAATACACAATTTCCACCAAAGAGAGGAAACTAAAACCCATGAAGAGGCCCAACAAGCCACCTGTGCTAGCTGTGTACAAACAATTGTACAAATGAGATCCTTGAGCTTTTCAGTTTTTTATAATTATGAATTACGTGCTTTTGTCACATCTCACTCCTCCATAATACTTGATTTCATTTTATGTATGCCACATCTGTTCAGTCGCAACTTTTAAACATTCCATTGAATCAAGATTACAAAATTTGTTCAAATTATAATTAGTATTTTTCTTAATGTATCTCGAAATTTTAAAAGTATTAATTATCTTCATGTTATTCCATTTTCATTGCTTTTCGTTTTCAATTTTTTAATTGATTTGCATTACTCGATGAAGTATATTCTGTTCTATATTTTAGTTCAGAAGTATATTCTGTTCTATATTATTAGTTGTTCTAATATAGAACTAATATAGTTCTATATTACTATATAATAGTTTAGTTTAGAAGTATATTCTGTTCTATATTACTCGATGAAGTATATTCTAGTTCTATATTCTTCTGTCTTTAATCTCTTCGAATGTTAATGAAGTTTGAATATATTATAATAATCATGTTGTGTTAAATATAAATGTTGCCATTTATAAAAAGGCATCATTTTGCGCGGTTATATTGTTTGTTGTCTTTCATTTATAACAATTGATAATGTAAAAAACATTTATTAACTATTTTGTTTATGTTCTTCGTCAGTTATATTTTTATATTGTTAAATTGCTATCATCACAACAAATTTTTAACGTTAGAAAATTTATACAGTACGATAGATACTGAAACTATATCCAGAGATTCACGTGAACTAATAAGAGAGGATTAGATAGAAACGTATACGAGTAGATAACGCTAGAAAGCCCTCTATTGTCTAAACTCAGCATTTTGATCATCAGTTTAATACGTACTGTCGGTATCTCTGAAAAAAATTGACATATTTGCAAGAAATGCGCCAATTTTTTTCAGAGATATCAAGCCACAGTATGCTCTTGTAAAAGTAGACTATATATTACGCCCAAAATACAAGAAAAAAATTGAAACATACTTACATAGAAATTCTGTGAAACCAAACAACTCGTTTTTCATGTACTTCGTGAATTGAGAATCGACGAAAAACAGATGGACTACCGCCATGTTTTTACTAAGTGAAAAAAAAGCCATTCCAATCATTATCATTATCATTGATTAATTGATAATACGAATTGTATTAAATCGAAGGAACGAATAGAATTACGCGAAATAGTCTTTGCTTTTCTTTACGTAGGTGTCAGGAATTATGAAAGTGGGCACCAATTTGCTTTGTGAGATTTCTACGTTGTAACCGATCTCGAAGCATCCTGGATAACAATTACAGCTGGGTCTGTGAAAGATGGATGTTGATTTCGATTTTTGTTTCGTCAATGAAATCTTCCGGTAAAAGAATCTATATAATCACTCACGTTTCAGAGACATTTAAGGAGCCTATCCGCATATCGTCGTCATAAAGTTTGACTTCCATTGCTCTACGAGCGCTCGTTGCACACTTGTCATCCTTCTTCTCGCAGATTTGTGTGTTGGAAGATTCTAGGAAGAAACAATGAGTTCGATGCCTGGAATCTAGATGTAGAATTAACTTTTCTGTTTGGCTTTTGAAAGTAACGGGAAAGATTGCTAGAATAAGACCATTAATATTCAATTTTGGTAAAAATAGAGTAGTTCAGAAGCTCATTAAAAAATGTGACATAGTAAAGAAACATTCTAAGAAAGGTAAAGTAATAATTAAGTGACTATAAAATTGAATAGCGAACAAATGTTTGACGATTGATCATCATTCTCAATTATTAGAAAAGATTCATCAAACAATTACTGGGCATGTAATATTGGACACAATGACAAAGCTTCTGTGTGAAATTCGCTTCGCATTCAAGGACGCAGTTCCTTTGCGTATAGGTCCTGTAGTAACGTAGCTTCCTCTCAGAAGTGAAGAAGCACTTTCTCTTTCTCAGAGGAATGCTAATTATTGACTTGCTGGCGGCTGATATCCGGGGCGCTACGATTACTCTAGTCTCTTCACCCGGAGTGACAGTGAATGCGAATTCGGCGATCTTTGGTGTTTCTACCGGATTATGCAGCAACATCTGTAAAAACATTACCGGTGTGAAGTTCATCGTTGCTTCCATCAGTCTTATATAACACGTATGATACATGATTCTATTTGTTTTGACGTGCTGAATACGAATGTCATATTCGTTTTCATATCCGGAGATCACAAAAATTTAATATTTTTGAATTTAATATACTGAACATACTTCAAAAAAAGAATTCTAAAAATTTATAATTTCTTTGTCAGTAAATATTTGTTTTCAAGATATTCTCATTTTTATTTTTATACATTATTATCTTATTTATATACATTTATTATACGTAATGTAAATGTCAAAATAGTAGAAATCTTTAAATGTTATATTATGATATAATTTTAGATCATAGTAATTGTTAGATGTGCAAGTAGCAAACAAATTGGTCAACTATGGCAGTTAGTAAACTAGTATAATGGATAGTATTTATAATACTATCCAGATCAATTTCATGACTTGAAATATATACCTTGAAACCAACGCTAGCCGTGGACGAACAGTAGTATTCATCTATATTTACATCAAGAACCAGAGTCAGACCATAGAATTGTCCGGCACCATAGGGTCTCCATGGAATGGAATCTGGCGATACATCGTCACCATATCCGGTTTCAGGATTCCAGTCGATGCTGTTATTGAATGGAAACGTCATATTGATGTCAGACCAGTCACGTCTGCTTCAATGGGAATGGAGGGAACATCATGAAACACAAATGTGCAGTCTAAATTTATAAAAGGATCCTTAAGAAAATTAGTATAACTAGAAGAGTCCTAAAAATTATAGAAGATCATAAAGGATTTGATTGAATTATTCGAATGAAATTATCAAATGCAAAACAAAATTTTAATCTCGAATGAAAATTGTTGTTTCTGCAATTTGCTTACGGGTTGTAAAACAAATACTTTCTCTCAACCGAGTTGAAATTACAACACATTCCTTCGTCTGTCAAAGTGGGATTAAAAATTTTCTCGCAATCAGTGATATTCCCATACCATTTACACAAATGTAGCATCTCTGTGCAAGACTGCGACACCTATTGAAAGATATGTAATTGAGGTAAATATCTTAATGAACACTTAATCCAGAAAATAAAATCAAAAAATATCTTGAAATCATAAAACAAATAAGTTGGAGGAATAAGGATCTATCATTATTATCATCACATTCTTATAAACTATATGTGCAATTCACTGTATGTTACATACATTGACCATGAAATGAAAAATGTTGTCCCAAGTTATCATATTTTCATTGACATTGTGAGCCGAGCTATTTTCAATACTGCACTTATCATCCAATAATTGTTTCTTTCGTATATCGTTCCTGTTATTAAATATTATTCACTGCAATAAATCTTCCTTCTAATTCATATGTTTCAATGATTTTTTCAATAGAATGGAAAATTCATTATTTAAATCTTAATTAAAATGTACAAGTTTATTATCAAAAAATTTTAGTGAATATATGGATGTTTTTAAATATCTTTTCTTTTATCTTTATATATATATATCTTTTCTTTTTTATTTTCTGTTAGAATTTTATAAAAGTTGTTCGAAAACAACTCACCCAGCGATTATGCGATTTGCCTCGCTCTTTTTCACATTATTCATGTTACAAATGGTTACCGATGGGAACGGAAACTGATCCAAGGACACTGATTCTGGACTGAGAGCGATAATAATGGGTGTCGAGACCCACCTTTGATACAGAAGCCATATGTAATAAGCGGCTGTTAAAACCGCTAATGTAAAGGAAATTATCCAGAAGATTCTGTAATAGAGATATTAATTAATTTTAAATTATCATACGTAAAATTAAAAATTATTGTAGAGTATTTCAAAATTCAATATTTAACCAGAAAATATAAATTTTTTTTTTTCTATTTCGATTTTAAAAATTTTATTCGCGTATTAATTCAGATTGCAAAAAATTACCTTTCGATGATAGACAAGCTCGAGTCTCCTACATAACGCAAACCATGAAGAGTACTATTCATACAGTATTGTTTCATAATGTTCGTAAGTTTCGTCCATCGTTGATTATCATTTTTACTAAATCGGAAGAATATTAAAATATTTTCATTTCTGGTATATATTATAACATCAAACAATGTACTATTGTTACCTTGTGCTCTTGTCATCATCGTAATCGTAATGTTGCGTCAGAGGACTTTCTTTCTTGATGAATTTGTTCTTGTTGTATCTGGACCTCAACGCTGTATCCTTCGAGCGGTACATAACCTTCAATTCGCGTGAAAGAAAAAATTCGTAGAATATTCACGCAAAAGAACAACTTGTCATGCATTAAGGAAAAATATCAGTTCCTCGTTAAAAAAGAATAATAACAAAGCAATACAGAAACGTATACGCTTTTTTAACAGTTTTGAAATTTATAAATATAATTAAGTTTGAAATTTATAAATATAATTAAATTTATAAATATAATAAATAAAGATACGTAATTATAATATCAAAGAACATTTTAACAAAAATTCTAATCGATTTCATTTCTCGTAAATGATAGAAATTGATGTTTCCAGATCGTGGTATGCCAATAAGAAATTAAACTAAAATTTCACCCCAGTAAATGAAGCTCCACTGTGATTATATTACCTTGAACGAAGCTGGTCGAACTTTGAAAATCTCTCCAGTGGCGTATCCTTCGAATTTAAGAGGATGTTTGTACGGGTTCTGCAGATGTACAGTGTTAATGGGATAAGGTATATTTGGATCGTGATGCTTCAAGTAATTCAACGTCGCCGTGTCGGTTGTCCTGTAAGCGGTTTCGATCGGTTCTACCTTGTCCTCATCCTCTGACTTCGAATATTGCCGATAGTACAGTTTCATCGGCATTGTATCGATTCTCTGGATTGTCCGATTGCTATCCATACTGCTTTATGCTTCGTTATTACAAAAAATTCATATTCTCAACAATTTATTGTCAATTTCTCAACTTTTGAGTGTGAATTTCTTCAATTCTTGGCCTGATTCCTTCGTCTGATAAATGTGAAACCGTTTCAGAAAAGAATGTGAAACTGGATTGAAGTTACTTAATACCTGAATTTAATCAGTAAATGTGAGAACACGTCTTTGCGATTAAAGAGTGTGAGGTTTTTATTAATAGAATACGCTTCTACTTAAAAAAGAAAATGCTAATAGCAATTTTAAAAATTATAAAAAATGTCAGCTGAGAAAAGGGTAGAACTTTTTAATCCTTCAAACAAAGAATCAGATACTTCTTGCGTTTAAAAATGAATTTCCTCTAAACAGAACAATTGATATATTAATATTATATTGATTCATCAAGAAACTTTTGAACAATTATATCAGTCCCTTAAAAAAACAAGGCATAATGATTCACTTCTCTGTTTCTCACTTCATAAAAGTGACACAACATACAATCTAATAAAGCATGACTAAGTAAGGCATGATACATCAAAAGATTTTCCACATTTTACTTTTCGACCAACACCTTCTAAATAGATATGAATACACAAGATTATCAGTATTATTTACCTAAAAATACAAGAGGAGAAGTTAAACTTTATTTCCAAGATAAGATCTCCACTTTAGAAAAGAAAAGATGAGAAATCTACGAAAAAGATACA